TGGAAAATCCAATCTGACACAGTACATTCTCTTCATCCCACTTGCGGTACCCAGTTTCCATTCCAGATGCCTTTCTGACTACCAAATGATCTTGACTTTTAGTAGCTTAAAACAACCATTTGATTTTGTTCACAATTTTGTGGTTTGGGAATAGAAAGAAGTATCATCAGGGCAGGTTTCATCAAGGATTGCACACACAACTGTGGTCAGGGATCAGCTGAGGCTGCCCTCATATGATGGCTTGTCCAGGCAGACGTCCATTATGTTGCAGTGATGTGATTGGCAGATGAGACATAGGTTGGCTGGAGTTCCACTGGGCTGTTGACATGGCTTCTTCAATGGGAAGTTCCCAGAAGACTGGTCTTCTAACACAGCATCTGGCTCCCTCAGATTCCAGAGCAGCAATTCCGGAGAAGCAGGTGGAGACTGTACTGCCTATGCCCACCCAACCTCAGAAATCAAACAGCATCACTTTTATTGCACTCTGTAGATTGCAAGTGATTCACTAAAGTCAGCCCAGGTTCAAGGGGATAAGTAAGAGATACCCTGTCACTTATGGGGAAGAGTAGTGTGACTCTGTGAACATATTTTAAAACTGCAATTCTCACCTCCTTCAAGATTCCTAAAGCTGGGTGCTGTAATCACAGCGGCTTAGGAGGCGCAGACAGAAGGATTGTGAGTTCAAAGCCAGCCTCAGCAATGGCAAGGTGCTAAGCAACTCAGTGAGACCCTGTCTCTAAATAAAATACAAAATAGGGCTGGGGGTGTGGCTCAATGGCAGGGTGTCCTGTGTTCAATCCTTGGTACCAAAAAAAAAAAAAAAAAGATTGCTAAAATGTCACCTTCTAAGAGAGACTGTCTCTTCCTAACTACTTTCCAGTCCCAACACTTGATTATGAATTTTCTTTTCTGTTTCTTTTTCATAGTAATTATCACCTTTTATTTATCACTTAAATTATTTCTTCATCGTCCAGTCTGTCTCCTTCCTGTTCAATGTAAGACCCTGAGAACAAGGATTTTTGTCTATTTTGTCCATTTCTGAAGTCTACCCATCTAAGTCAGGGGTTTGCTTACCATATCTGGTCTGCTGCTTATTTTTATAAATAAAGTTTTATTTTAACACAGCTGTGTCCACTCCTTTGTGAATTGTCCCATGGCTGCTTTTGTATCACAATGGCAGTGCTAACAACAACTCTTTGTTGAATGAATGAACAACTTTGGTTCAACCAAATACAACTTTTCCATTACCAACAGAACTCTATTTTTATTTTTAAGAATAAAACAGAATATAGACCAAAAAAAAATCCCATTTTTGTGGTTTCTCCAAATTAGGGAAACATTGTCCTCAAAGGTGAATTGGAACATCCTTTATTGAATAGATTAATTGCTTATAATTGTAAAACAATAAATCTCTGTTTTACAAGTGCTTTTTGGATTTCTACGAGAGCCCTATTTTTAAATATTAGGAGGTTTCCAATAGACCTTTGGTATAGGACTTTGTCTTTTTTCAATCCTGTGTTTCCAAAACTTAGTTGATCACAGAACATGTCTCAACGTTCCTTGTGAGATGCTCTTTAACACCAAGAAAACTAATAGTCTAACAGAAAAAGTGAGTATTCAACTTACTAACAAATTGGGATACGACCCAGAGTGAGAGGAGGCACTGCTAATACTCATGCTGGGACAACAGCGCTCTCCTGGGTGAACCAGGAAAGACTGCCACCTTATTTTGTGGGAAATACTGTTTTCTCTGATTACAACTCAAAATGGGGAAGAGTTTGATTCTATATTACCAAGAGATTATTTTAAAATTTCAAAGGTTGCGGGCTGGGGATGTGGCTCAAGCGGTAGCGCACCCATCTGGCATGCGTGCGGCCCGGGTTCGATTCTCAGCACCACATACAAACAAAGATGTTGTGTCTGCCAAAAACTAAGAAATAAAATATTAAAATTCTCTCTCTCTCTCTCTCTCTCTCTCTCTCTCTCTCCCCCCTCCCCTTCACTCTCTCTTAAAAAAATACACACATGATTTATTTAAATAAAATAAAATAAAATAAAATTTCAAAGGTTGTCAGTTGGTGGGGACTGTTGAGGGAAAAGTCAAAGGTGGAATCATGAGGAAACAATTCTGTAAAACATACTTGTCAGAATTCAAGTCAAGTTCTGGAGCACTGAAGTCCAGATCCTTCTGTATTGTCCCTAACAATTACTGAAACACAGGTTTCTGAAGGAGAGAATGACCCAGTCAGCTTGGAGCTGCTGATTCTGCAATCAACTTCTGACTCCCTGGGTGTGTCTTATACTCACCTTTTTCAGAAGAGAAGACTGGTTTGATAGGGACTATCAAGAAGAGGGTGGCTCTTTTGAGCTGAGCTGCCATACCTGGCCACTGGCATAGCTGGCATCCACCCTGACCTGGTCAGTTGAGACCAAGTTGGTGAGTTCCCTGGCAGAAAACACAGCTTCTAAAACTAAAGCACAAGTAGAACACACTTAACATGGTGCCTTTAAAGAATGCAAACAATTGCTTAGTCTCTTCCTTCATCAGGACTATGGACATGGTCACTTTCCTAGTAGGAAGCCTCCTCTCCTGCTATTTGTTAAAGCTATGGGGTTTTTGTGATTTTGAATCTGATCTCTTTACTTCATATGTACAGATCAGAACCCAAGAATATGCTGAGTTGTTTGTGTGAAACATTATAGTTTGAAATACTCAGCTTTATATAAAAAGAAAATACATATTAAACTACCTAATATTAATGATTTTGTTAACCTTCTTCCTTGTTATCTGACAGTGTGTTTGGTAGATGGGACACCTCTCGGGAGCTCCTGCCTCTGCTCTAATCTCTTCCACTATCCACTAATTATCACCTTGGTACATCTGAACAATGACTGAACCTCTCTGAGCTTCAGTTTTCTCATCTCTAAAGTAGGGATAATAAATCCTACCTACATCATAGAGTTACTGTGAGTTTTAAATATAATCCTATATGGATCTTTTGGCTAGGGTCTGGTATATCATAGATCCTCAACAAATACATTCATGCATGGCCTAACAACATTTTGGTCAATGACAGACCACATATATGATGCTGTCCCCTTGGATTGCCTCGCCTAGTGCCATCATAGCCATCTTAATCTACATGATGTTGACACATTGACAATTGCCTAGCTACACATTTCTCAGAACACATCACTGTCCTAAGTAATGCATAACTGTGCTAAGTTTCTCACCCACTTTTCTCTAAACTTATTTTGGGCCTAAGTTTCAAATAAGAATGTTGGACCCAATTACCAATGTTAAAATCCCTCCCACCCTTAATAGTGCATAAAACTGCTCACTCTGTGGTTGGAACAATGAACTTTCTTAGACCACTATGTTGATGACTTCTGTTTTTCTTTTGTCATCTCTTCTTACTCCTCTCCCTTTACAGTTTTCCTTTCTGCCGGATTTCTGTTCTCGCTACTAAAAGGCTCAGGGGTCACTCCAGTTGAATTGGGCTAATTGGGCTGCACAAAATAACTGCACAAGAGACACAAATACCCTTTTCTTTGGGGTCACTGTGACAGCTCCTCTGACCTTAAGGGTCCGCAGGAAGAGAGAGAGAGAGAGAGAGAGACAGCACATGCTGACCCCTTTTATTGAGGAGAAGCTATTCAAATAAGGCAAGGGGTCAGGTTTCAGGGGGCTGAGTCTATCTTCATGATGTCCACTGTCAGCAGGTTGACTGAAATCTGGGTAGGCCACACTCAAGGGCACAGTAAGAGAAGGGGACACACACACAAGGCACCTCCATGGAACATTCTAGCCTAAACAGGGCAAGGGATTATATTACAAAGCAACAGGTGAGCCTAGCTTCACCCATGGGGCTGTAGCAAGACACAGTCACTCGAACCCTAGAAGAGCAGGACAGTCTAGCAGCATGGGTGCCTGACGCCACACTGCCCAGCAGGGGAGTTAACTTAGTCATGTGCGAGGCTGGTCTCCCACACCTTTCACTTAACAAGAATGAAAATCACTTCTATTCAGGAGCCTTCTTGTGACCCATTCCCCAAACTGATTATTTCATCAATCCAATTCACTGTTTTATCTACATCTAGTTTATTAAACATGGCTAATGAGGTGTCATAGGCTAAAATTAACTTAAGAAATCTATTTCCTTTCCAGTATTATTCTATCCAGACAATTCCCCACTTTTCTCATTAGAAAAGTTGGAGCCATCGCCCCAGACTGAGTGCCACTAGCTAAGTCCTATGAGTTAAAGAGGTATTTCTAGCCTAAATGGTGGGGTAACTAGGTCAGGGACTGAGGACAGTGGCCAGATCAGTGCTTGGGCCTTGAACCAACCACAAGGCCACAGTTTTTTGTATGCTGTTGCCTTTCTCTTATGCCCATAGTAGACACTGCTAATTGAATGCATCCTGTTATACTGTGTCCAGCTTCAGAGTATTTTGCAATACACAATTTTCCAGCAGAAATTAGGTTAGGATCTAAGTTAAGCGTGGTAGTTCGTTAACACAAAGTTTTGAACACTGGTTTTAAGTTCCTGTGTTAATAAGGGGGGTCAAAAGGTGGGATATGAGGCCCAGAACACCTCTTATTTCTCATTTAGCCCACTATATACAAAATATAACACGTAAGAATATAAAAATATTAGTGAGCTGGTTTACAACTCTTTTTCCGGACTAAGTCTGAATGCAGGCTATTTTACATTTGCAGAACATACCCGAACAAGCCACATTTCAAGTGCTCAATAGTCACACACTAACAACGCCGCTCTCAAGATCCCAGACAGATGATTTGTGGGCACACATGCCCTCTGGAATTTCAAAGAAGGGCAAAAGTTCATCTGGGGCTGGCTCAATGACTTGTAAGTAGAAGGCAGGACTTGCGGGAGCCGGCAATACTCGCCTCGTGGGGCATGCTGGGAGTCGTAGTCATGCTCGCCCATCCGTGAGGCCGGATGGGAATTGTGGGCCTCGGTCCCGCGGGGCATGCCGGGAGTTGTAGTCGCTCCCGTCCGCCCGCGGTCGGTGTGCGCGTCATGGCTGCTGGCACCGCGCTAGCGCCCGCGCGCTCTTCCGCTTGGCCCCAGAAAGTTTCGGTTCTGCGCGGCGGTGGACCCAAGACCGCGTAAGTGCCGCGGGAGACCTGCTGGACTTTGGGGGCCCTGGGACTGCTCACGATCCGGGAGCGGAGAGGTTCGCTCCTGGCGCAGCTTGTCACCTGTTGCCATTACTGTCCCCGCCCATCCCGGTTCGCCCACAGACTCTACCACAGACCCTGCTCCTGCTCAGCGGGCCCAGAAGTCACCCCTGGCCTCCGTGAGCTGGTCTTGGAACTTAGGCTTCCCCAGTGATTAGTTAGAAAGACAAACCCCAAACACCAGTTCCAAGAGCCGGGCCGGCCGCGGGGCCAAAGGAGCCCACCCTGTGGAGGCTCAGGAACTAGCCCAGGACCCTCTAGTAGAGGAGCACAAGTCCCCGAATTCCTGCTTGCACAGCTCATCTGGACTGCCCAGACTTTAACTTTGCAGGACTCCTGATGCCCCAGTTTCTCCCTTCTTCACAGAAGGGAACGGTTTGTTCTTCCAGGCTGGTACTCAGGCCATGGCCCATTCACTGTACTCATTGTTCCTTGTGCCCAGGTGCACGGCCTCAAGGTAGCCTCTAAGTGATCTTCCTGGAAACCACCGTTTGACGGTTTGAATTATCTCTAAGGCTGCACTGGACGGGGACGAGTCCATGCTGTTGGAACCTAGGCTGGGGAGTATAGAGGGAGAATGGAATTTTATTTTTATATAAGTAAAGTACATGTGGTTGACACTTTACCCACGTGGCTTCCTGTTAATGCACATATGTCCTCTGATGCCCCTTATCACTCTTACTTCGTTGTTCCTATTGGTTATCCCCTCCAGGGGGGGAAAAAGAGCACTTGTTGACACTGCTTGTTTTGGCCAGAGCCTCTCTGTCCCTCTGCTTGTCTTACCACAGCAGTTTCCTTTCCCGACTGGGAAATGGGTCAGGGGATTTTTAGGGGCAGCGGATCAGGGTTTAATCTGCTCACTGCCCTCCTGTGCTGTGTGCCTTGTGGTCTCTCCTGCAGCAGACTTAATTCCCCTGCCATCTGCCTGAGGCTGGAAGCAGTGGTGGCAGGGGAGGGGGCAGTTGTCAAGCTTTGGGTTTCTGCTTTCACCTTCTGAAATGGGGTTGAGTTGAGTGGGTGGCACTTGACCCTCTGTGATAATCACCATTCTTAAACTATTAAATGCCTCATATTTGCTGTGGGTCATGGTTATTTATCACCCTGGAAATCAAAGTGAATTGATTAGAAGCATCTGAAAAGCTCTTGCTTTGGGAGACAGAGGTTTTCTGCTTGTGTTTGATGTGTTCATCTTTGTGTAGTGCTTCATTTGTTGTTGTTTTTTAAATTGTTTTCAATATTTTATTAAGAAAATAGATAAACGCAAAACCTTTGAAAGAATTCTATAAAGAACATCCATATATTCAACTCTTAGTATTTTACTTCAGTTACTTTTGCACTTGCTTGAGAGATTTTGGGATGAACTTTTGGCTGCTGCTTTGCCACTTGAGGCAGGTTTGGTGCACTAGCATGGGTATAGGAGCCCGATTTTTAGTCTAGTCCTTTAGGACGGCATGGTCCCCACATATGTTTGACAGGAAAAACCTATAACAAAGCAAGATCAGAGAGGCTGGTGGCTTTCACCCCATGCTGGTCATTGAACACAGGATAGGTACTCAAGAAATGGCAGTCCCCTGCCTCCAACCCCCATTCTTAACTTATCTTTATGAGACAGGTTTAGCTGATGGGTAACCTATATTTTCTGGATATTCCAAAGACAAGACTTTGGTAGCCCAGAAAAGAGTGTTTTTAAACATGAGGCAGAGGAAGCATGATATCTAGATATGGTCTCTTGGTGGAAACTGGTAGAACTTGGAGTTTACATTAATCATAAGCAGCAGGTAAGGGTCATTAACTGGAGTTTGTGACTTTAGAGGCACCTATAAGCAGAGATATGTTGATTATGGTCATATTGACATCTGCTCACCTAGTAACTGCTGTGTTCTTGTCTTACTCAAAATAAACAGTATTGGAGCATCTATGAGCAATTAAATAAGTCAGTTGGTTAGGATTGGAATGTTTCTGTGTGTCTACCCATGGAAACACTGCCTACTTACTTGTTATTTTTTGATGCATTCCTAAAAATGGCTGAAGTAGCTGGCCCTATGGTTTTGGGAAAAGGAGAATAGCAGAAACTGTACCTAGTTGGGCAAAAGGAGTTTTCCCCTTCTTCTCCCACATTGGAGCCCGATGATTTTAGTGACCATCAATGGTCCTTCCAGTTCACATGGTTTCTGTGGCCCACGGACCTATTTTCATTTGGACTAGATTCCATTTGCAGGGACAAGGATGTGTACATCACAGTGGTTCTGAGGAAAGACCTAATTTGGTTATAGTACTGGAGCCTTGTGGTTATAAGTCTAGGGCCCAAGGGCTTATCTGGCCAGCCACCTTGGAAGTTTGGGGCACTGCACCCTTGGTATAAAGCAAGAAATCAAGTTAGTGGATCTCTTAGTATCCAGAAGAAAACCTTGGAGCAAAAGAAAGTATTCCAAACAAGCCCTGAGCATTCATGAGGGTAGGCCAAGGGAAGGATTCCCAGAAGAGGTCCAACACAGGGCTGGACAGTCAAACCAGAGGTGGGAAGTTATAATGGAGCTAGAAGGAATTTCTTAAAGCTGAACCTGTAATCTTAGGTGCTTTTCCAGGGAGGAGACACCTAGAAACCTGAGCCAAAGTTAGCCATTGAGAATGTCTCTTCTTCCCCTTTCCCACCTCCAAAGATAATAATTCTTAATCATTCCTTATGAGGGAAGGTGAAGGGTTACCTCCCCACATTACACCTGGAAAAAAACAAGGTAGGAAGAGGTCAGATAACTGCCCCAGGACAGACAGATTGCCTGAAAATAGTTTGCTGAGCTAAATATATCTGAGTCCCACTCAGCCATGGCATGATCTTCATCAAAGTATTTGTTGCTTAATAGGTAAAGGAAAGTTCACCTAACTAGTTCAATAGCCAAAATCTGAATAGGGTCCAAATTGACAAAACTCACCACTGACAAAAGAGAAGGCACACACCTTGCCTATTGCCATAGCTCCAGCCTCAGACCATCCTGGTCCTGCTTGGCCCTGCCCTCTGCCTCCATAGCCTCATGCCCTGCTCCTCTGTGTCCAGGTTGTGTGCTTTCCTTGGCTTGCTTCTCTCCAAGGAACACAGCAGAACCCAGGCCCAGCAACATCTCCTCTCCACAACCTGCTTGGGTCATGGTGCAGAGCCACACTTCCAGGAATGGAAAGAGACAGGCCTGGAGAGGTGTGTTATTATTCTAGGCCGCCACAACAAAATGCCAGAGACTGGATGGCTTAAGCAACAGAAACTTATTTTCTCACAGTTTTAATAGTTAGAAGTCCAAGATCAAAGTATTGGCAGGTTTGACTACTGCCAAGGCCTTTCTCCTTGGCCTGAAGATGGCTGTCTTCTCTCTGTGTCCTCACCTGGCCTTTCCTGTGTTCAAATATCCCTGGTATTTCTTTTGAGTGTATAAAGTTTCTCTTCTTATAAGGACACCAGTCAGATTGATTTAGGGCCCATCCTCATGGCCTCGTTTAATATCAGTGGCCTTTTTTTTTTTTAAGTAGATTTGGTGGGGTTTTATTTATTTATTTTAATTTAATTAGGTTAGAATGCATTTGATTCATGTACACAATTGCAGCACAACTTTTCATTTCTCTGGTTGTACACGATGTAGCGTCACACCATGTGTGCAGTCATACATGTACATAGGGTAATGTTGTCCATCTCATTCCACCATCTTTCCTGCCCCCATATCCCTTCCCCATCCCTCCCTCCCCTTTGCCCAATCAAAGTTTCAGTTGCCTTTTTAAAGGCTCTCTCCTCAAAATACAGTCACATTCTGAGATATGGGGTTGGGATTTCAACATATGAAAAGGGGTAGAAAGAGGGGAGACGTAAGTCAACTCTTAACAGAAGGGTTGGGTTACAGATGGAGTGGTTATTGTTGTCCTGGATGGGCAAAGGTTTGGGTAAGACTTCCTTAGGGACCAGACTGTAGTGTGTATTCCCTCCCATCCAGGCTAACACCAGAAAGACCGGAGGACCTGGTCAGAGGGAAGTGTGGGGAGCATAAGGCAGAGCTCAGTCTTGACAGAGGACAACACAGAGCGTCTGAACCCAGAGTTAGGGCCCTGGCCATTGAATTCAGGGCAGCCCAGGCCAAAACACCACTAGGAGAAAGGAAGGGGGAGGGACCAGAAGATGGACCTTTCAGCCCAAGAATAAAGGGCCTCACATGCCAGGTTAAGAGATGTGGAACCCAGATCTGACAGCAATCACCTGAGCTCTCAGCACAGCTGTGGGCTTTTTTATAAAGTAGAGGTGGAGATACACACTTAATTTGTCCTTAAATTATTCCTGAATCATATGATTCCATTCACTTTTGGAATAATAGTTCTATAAGATTCTCATAAAATGACAATATAATATCCACCATTACATCCAGATTTTTAAAATAAATCATTTTAGTGAACATAAAAATAACTTGTGCTGAACAAAGCAATATTTAAAAATAAGAAGAGTTGAATTTTGAAACATAAACTTGTTCCCCACATCTGGGAAATTATGATTTACATTTTTGGCGTATTGCTATGCCTCATGGTTTAGTTTGGTTTGTGGAGCGAGGATCCGTGTTTTATTTTGTCTAACTCATTCACTCATGCAGCAAGTAACTTACTGAGGGCTTTGTATGTGCCAGAACCACATGCGAGGTGAGGGAAATAATGAACAGCATTGGAGTTTACAGACAGGCGTGAGGAACAGAAATTAAACAAGAAATTACTGTGGCGATGAACAGCCCCAAAGTTGGAGAAGGAAACCCTAAGACCCTGCAGTGGCAGCTCCAAGTCATGAGCAGAGAAGAGCTTGTGCCTTGTGTGTTCGCTTGTTTTCATAGAAGCACTGATCAAGCCTCAAGGGATTTTTCTCAATTGTAAGCTTATTGGGGTATGTATTGTCTGTTTCTGAGCATAAGTTC